TCAAACACACATATGTGAATTTTCATAAGATGCCTATGAAGGGTTTCAGAAAAACAGGCACATCTAAACAGCATAAAAAGCATAACCCCTTTTTTCCTTCCAAATCATGATTTTCCACCTACCGGAGCCATTGAACGTTCCAAAATTCGTAGTTGATTTGAAGTCACTATTTATTCGAGACTGAAAATGACAAAAATGAAGCCAATCCTGTTTATTCGGAATTAGGTGTTTTTTTGCATATGGAGGTTCGAAAGCATGAGGAACAATAATATGAGGTTAGATTTCCTGTAAAAAAATGCCTAATATGATTTTATGAAAAATCGACCCCTTCTAGTTCAATAAAAACGCACGGCACTGTCCAAAATAATGTGCATCTCTGTGAAACTGATCATATTGATGGTTATTCATACCACACCAAATTTGGTTGGAATCGTATGACTAATAACTGAGATATAGCGGGGAGGCCGTTTAAAGTGAGACACGCTGTATATTAAAAGAACATGATTAATTTAGATTTCATAGAGGATGTTAGGATTGATTTCAAATTATTGTATAGTGACCTGGAAGATTGTTCATACGGTTATATTTAAAAAGTTGAGGTTTATGTCATAAAATTTTTTATTATTGACTGTCAAATAAAAAGTCAGAAAAACATTAATTCAAAAATATAAATGGTCTAGTTATTTCGTACTCTCTACATTTGTATAGAAGGCCGTGTTTTAGAAGAAAGGCAGAGCCAATCACACCAAAAATTAGAAAACCTCGGCATCTGGGACCGCCTCTTCCACATATTGACTTTGTTAGTACTATGACTGATGATGACCAGTTGACTGGTCGAAACATGTCTCGATAAAAAGTAATAAAGCAGATTTAACTGCACACATCACCAGTAAACTTGTGGAGATGACTTTGGGTTTTTATCTCTCAAATTCTATATATTTATTATTCATCATATCTATAATAAGTATCCGTTTCGGTTTGACTTGAAATTTTCATCGATGTGCTGAACAAGTATATGAAAATTATTGTCCTCTACCCTAGTTTTTCAATTTCTGAATATTCTGCTGAATACCCCGTCACTGAGATTCCAATGCACACTAGAAATATTTTTTTCTACTGAGAAAAGAAATGAATGGCTCCAGTGGGACAATAGGCGTGTACACCTTAGAAGAACTTTTAACTCAAATCATGTTTATAATGATCCTTTTATACATAAATAATGATTGACGACATAATTCGATCGAAAAATTACCTGGAATGTTTTATTTTTGGACATAGATAATAGTATCTCCTGAAAACGGACCCTCTTATGACGTAGAAACCTCATCTCGCCATAGTTAAAAGAAAATACTAAATGCCCGACGGAGACTGAGGCAACTGATATATTAATTCTTTCAACTGTGATCTCGCGCTAATTCACTGTGTCAGAAATCATGTATCATTCATTTCTGTCTGGAATAGTCTTGTTTCAGTATTAGGGTTTTGACGTCACATCATCGCCTCGTTTTCAGAGGTCCGAAAAATCGGGGATTTCAATAATTTATTATAAAACGTAGGGAGCTCACAGCAAGAAACGGTTTGCGGTGGTGAGCTAGTTTGGGTGAGTTCTATCGAATTACGAAATAAAAATTTTTTGTGATATAAGCTCATTGCATTAGTGTCCTCCATGCCAAATTTGGAGGCTCCACGACAATTTTAAATCATCCTCCAGAAATTCAATAAATCTTGTCATGTCTGAATTTTTTTCATTTTATTCAATAATAATGCCGTTTCTATAGAACAAATTATTTATTATTCAACATATCTACAATAAGATAAGTCCGTTTTGCGTTTGAAGTGAGATTTCTGTTGATACATGTTGTATTCCATTCGGTTCGGTTTCATGATCAACAAGTTATGTACACAGTTATTCTGAGTATATAGTTCCATACTTTTCACTAACCCTGTATACTATTTGCGTTTATGCGAGTACCAAGTTCAACATCCATCACCTTGATGTTTGAATAGATAATAACCAGCGATAAGTTATCTTTTGTATCGAAAGAAGCATCCTGGATCGATTAACATTGACACCTCATGACGACATTGCCCGTGAAAACCCAGCAATACCTAGATCTTTGAACACACTAAAACAAAGTTTATTATATTCATTAACACTTCATTAAATAACAACTGTATCCTAATGTTCATACCATATTAGTCTTCCACTAAAACTCTGACTGATAATATCCATCCAATCCTATGAACCCAAAGTCTGGAACATCTACAAGGCTTTGCAATGCAAAAGGATTATCGTCTTCTTCTTCTGTCAAAATCTGTGGCTCATTCGGTGATCTAAACTGGAATTTTTTATCATCTGATAACTCTTTATGTGTTTTCGTTGGCACACCATTTGAGGCACTGCAAGAATCTTCTTCAATGTCGCTGCTTTGTTCTGAACATTCTTCATCCCTTTCGTCTGGTGTTTCTTCCACCTTTCTGTCATCTACAGTCTCGCTGTTGATGTCGTTATTAGTATCTTCTTTGTTCTTTTCTTCATCTTCGATCTCATTGTTGGTGTCAATTTCACTCAACTTTTCCGTTAGCTGATCAACAACTTCTCCGATATTTTCGACTTGGTCAGTCATTTTTTTTTTGTTATTAGAGCGATATATGGATTAGACACACAATCGATTACTATACTGTGGTCTTGAGTATTATCGAAGATTGAGTTTGTATCTCCTTATCGCTAACTAGATTACATCATCTTATGTATGGATTTGTACTAGTGCTAGATGATATCAGTTAATCAAGTTCCAGGTCGTTTTTTGATAACACTCTAAACCAAACACCAGGTCAAAATCTAAATTTTCTCAACCAAATACAGATACTTATAGATACTGCGTTTTCTTCCAGAATTTCCATCTCCTTTCAGGGAACTAAGAACTCACGAAGAAGACAGGTCAACGCTGTCAATTTTTTTTTATGTTCTGGTTCCCACGAAAAGGGATATCCTGTAATGTTCAGAGAACATCGTGAGAACCGAGGGAAATAAGGTAGGAATTGGTGTTCTTCTTGAATATCTGGAGGTTATATGCCTCGGGGAACACCTCCCTTGGCAATGTGTTCCAGAGCCTCGCTGTTCGTTGGATGAACGAGTCTTTGGAAAGAGATATTCTGCAGGTCTCCAAAGCGACCACGAATTGGTGCGAAGCCTCAACTCGGCGGGTTAATGTCGAGGGGACTGCCAAGGGAGGAACAATTGTTGATATTTCAGAAGAGCATCGTCCATGAAAATATCTATAGAATAGAGCCAGATCGCCAACGTTTCTAAGGTGTTCCAGAGAAGTGAGTGAGTTTGTGAGCGAGGCATCACCCACGAGACGAATTGCCCTTTTTTAGACAGAATCTAACAGTTTCAGGGTATGTTTGGGTGCTGCACTCCAAATTTGGGAACAATATTCCAGGACAGGTCGCATCTGTGCCATATAGATCATAAGCAGCTGACTGGAAGTGAAATAGCTCCTGGCCCGAAACAGAAAACCAAATTTTTGGGATGCACTTTCAGCAATTGATCTCACGTGATTTTTCTAAGAAAGGTTATTGCTGATAGTAATCCCAAGCATCAAAACGGATGTCTTCAAATGTATGGTTGACTCCTGTTGGGCACAGTGAGATGGGCTTTTCTAGAGAAAGGCATGCTTGTGTTTTGTTTGCATTGAAATCTATCAAGTTATTGGATCCCCATTCGAGAATTGTTGCCAAGTCCATATTTATGTTGTCAACATTTCTCCCTCGTTCGTTTCTGATTTGCCTGGCTGGAATTGAAGCCCTGGAAGAGGAGGCGGTATAGAGGGTACTATCATCCGCGAAGTTGTGTACTGGACATGAAGTTGCTTCCAACAAATCGTTGATATGGAGTAGAACTAGTGTTGGTGCTAGAATTGATCCTTGCGGAACACCAGCATTTATGATAAGAGAGTCAGATGAAACTCTGTCGACCACTACATGGAGAGACCTGTTTGAGAGAATACTAGCTAGCAGAGAACATAGCTTAGGAGGCAAGCCATAAGATGGAAGCTTGGCGAGGAGTCCGTGGTGCCAGACTCGATCGAATGACTTGGAGATATCAAGTGCCACGGATACAACTTCATTAATTGCCACCATGCTGAAAACCATTTCAATCCCTTCATTTGGTATAAGGAGCTAGATGATATTGAGATGTATCATTGAATGTGGCAGTGAATGCAGATTTATGCACACCGATTTTGCATTCATCTGTATTTTCACAATTATTAATGATTTCACTAATAAGTTGAAACTTGATATTCCCGTTCATTCATTTATGCATCTAAATTGAATTTTATCTTTCATTAACTATTCACTAAGAGATGACCAACTTTTATCTCTTAACGACAAATACAAATAATACACTTTCAAAATAATATGAATGAATGATTCTTATTGTAATTATGTGATCACTGAATGTTATAACACAAATATTTTCATAGGGCTAAGTACGCTGAGTACTATGTTATGATCAAGAAAAAGAGTTTAGAATTAAAAGAAGGTGGTGCATAAAGGTACCATAGTCCTTAAGGTCACTAAAATAAAATGAACGTCAGTGTATCAGTTGTCAGATATTTATTTCAACACAGCATGTGATTTCAAAGTGTACCAAACTGGTCATCGATATGCTTAACAGGCAATTAACACCTATAAGGAAATGATGAGTGGATATGGTTTGGGGCGTTTTTGTCAGTCATTCTGATGTATATTATGTAGAACAAACTTTAGTCATCAGCTGACGAATAATACAATACATACAATTACTTCAGCATCATTTATTGTGCATTACCCTGTAAACGGGAAGTCGATAAAAAATCAGAATACCAAGCACCACACTTTCTCTACCATTACTTACAAACTCTTACTCAAATGGATATAAAACCATCGAATAGTAAAAATAATAAGACAATAAATATTTCACAATAATTAGAAGTTAATCATCAAATACATACTGTAGGTATCATGAGATTGTTAATAATTGAACTTGAACTCATCTTGTTGCTGTCCATCAGGGCCAGTATTCGATCTGGGTGGCATATCCACTATAGTCCTCATTTTCGCTCCTCCACTGCTACCCTTGGTCTCATAGACCTGACTCGTCGGTATGCTCGTAGTGTCCATACTTCTTATTACTTTCGGTGGCTCATGATTGATCATTGAGAAGCCGCTGTTGTTGCTTTGCACGTCATAACTTCTAGGCTGAATGTTTCCCATTTTGGAATGTCGAACCTCATTTGCACACTATCGGTGCTTATATACACAGGTTATAACATTTTATTGCCTCGTTACTGCAGTTGATAAGATACGGCGACTAAACAGAATGCTGAACCAGTCTCCGACAATTTTCAGAAAATCATTGTCATGACCAACAATTTTAACCGAAATTTCATACCTAACATTTCCGATCAATTTAAAGCCTGTATTTCGTATCGTTACCGTAGCAACTAAACAAATTTCCGGATTTTTTTCTTTTCCTTGGTGGAAGGAGCATCCATCAGTAAATACCTTGTCAAAAATTCAGTAGATTTCAATATTTTATGGTACGAATTTCAAGAGAGGATAATGAAATGTTGGCACCAACATTTTTCCTTCTTCATATCAATGATCTGTTGGGAGTAACAACTTTCCCCATCCACAGCTTTGCAGATGATAGTACCCTCCATACTGCGTTCTCTTCCCAGAATTCCCATTTCTTCCTAGGAAACTAAGAACTCAAGGAGCAGGCAGGTCAATGCTGTCAATGAAGACCTTGCTGAAATCACAGCCTGGGGAACCAACAACCTAGTTGAATTCAACGCCACCAAAACTCAAGCCTGTATTTTCTCTAGAATATTGTAATGTCTGGCACCACCATCCCCACCAAGCCCACCATCCCCACCAAGCCCACCATATCTATGCTCGGTATTTCCATCAGCAACACTCTTTCATGGGATAATCATGTCAAATCCATCGCAAAAGCTGCTTCACAAAAACTCGGATTCTTGTTCCGTGCGATAAGCTACTTTACACCTCAACAGCTTCTCATGATCTACAAAGCGCAGATACGGCCTGTTCTAGAATACTGTTCCCACATATGGGGTTCAGCACCAAAACATACGCTGATGCTCTTAGATTCTATCCAGAGAATAGCCGTTCGCCTGGTGGGTGACGCCACACTCACTCACTCTTTGACATCATTCGAACACCGTAGAAAGGTCGACGACCTTTCACTTTTCTATCGATACTTCCACGGGAAATGTTCTTCGGAAATCTCTGCTATCCATCCCTTCACTAGCAATACCAGTCAGACGCACTAGACAAGCCCAGTCAGCACATCATTTCGTTATCAACCTCGAAAGATGTCGAACAGCACTTTATCAAAACTCCTTCATCCATAGAACGGCTAGGAATTCATTGCCTGAGGAAGTATTCTCAACAACATATAATCTCCAGAAGTTCAAAAAAAATTCCAATACCTACCTCCTGTCTCTATCCTCCCTAGGAACGCACGAAGTTCTTTGAACATTATAGGGATTTTCTTTCGTGCGCTCCAAGCGATAAAAAAAACCTATGACGTCAAAACATTATGTTCTTTTAGTAAACTACACTGTTTTACCACATCGTGTTTACCACTAACCAAAACTATTTTGTAAACGCCTCGACACGTGTTTCGCTAACTATGTTAGCATCTTCAGGAGAAGATTTATACTGTTTTAATCATCCCGGTATGGACGATGTCGATATTGTTCGAGTTGTGACACTGAAGACACAAGAGGGTACCTTGAAACGTACAGTCAACAAACTATGTGTATTGCCTTTAGAAGAATGTAATATCACATAATTTATTGCATGTTATGATTTGTAATTTAATTATTTATTTAGTATTTTGAAAGCGTTAACCTTTCAAGGGGGCGGAATGTTTGGTACATTCTAGATCACCCTTTAGGTTAAGTAGTTGAATCACCATGTATGTTCAGGATGTGGATAGAAGTTGTAACATGGCAACTTGTTCTCATTCGAAACAGTTGGAATAATAAATAGAATAAAGAAATTAGGGAAATTGCAATTCGAATTGCATTCTTCTATCAATCAATCAACCTTCGAAATACAGTCCACTGCACTCAAGCATCGAACAATCAAGGTGGCTGAGGTCTTCTAAATGACTAAACGAATTATAGCGTAACTTTCTTCGAAATCGACCCGGTTAATCGCAATTCGCCGAATCCGAACAGCATCACAGCCAAAAACTACGCCGAAGGCACGTCTTGATCAAACAAAACGTGTCTACCAGTTCTATATATAGCAACGTTGCACTATCGCAGAATCATTGCTTCGATATCCGCCGCGACGTTTGCTAATCTGTGACCGAGCAATGGACACCAAACCAGCCCTGATGTATCAATCATCTGCCAGAACTTCGAAGAAGATCAACTTTGACATTGACGGCTACAAAATGGACGCCGGGCGTCGTGGTGACGTCTGCGACGGCGCCAGACGGAGATCGAAGAGGGCTGTGGTAGATGTCCCGCCTAGAGCCAATATTGGAGCAGACGGCATGGAACAGGAAGAGTTCAAGTGAGGGTGCGCAACAGGTGGTGTCGGTGGTTTAACGGAAATGTTCTGAAAGGCCCCCTGACTGTTCGCGATTGTGCTTGGCTGTGTATAGCGAGCAGAAAATGAGACTGTGGTAACAATCAGTATTAGAGTATGATGTTTTCATATTTATTCATGTAACAACTAATTTATTATGTTATGAAAATTAAAGTTTGGAAATGTTGAATCATCACTTTTGCTTCAACGTACACTCTTTAAACGTGTTCTCTTTCGTACATTTCCGTCTAGAGATTGTTTTTGGAATCAATTCCAATGCATTGTCTACACATAATACAGAGATAACTTGGTTTCAACATTAATTTTCCTGTTGCAATCTTTGATGAATGTGCAGGTAAATATAGCATGTCAGAGATATTCAGCAAATAGTGTTGAGTGGTTTTTTGTTTCTAATTGTGGAAAATATCGTGGATTGATGTCAACACCTATAAAGGTTGATAATGATAATCATTAGGTACTGCAACATTATGTTCAAACAGAGAAGGACGTATGAATAGATTATTTCCTAATAAAATGGTGTCAATATTGGTAGATTGTATCAGTTATGATCATCCTAGGTGTGACAAACATTATTTTGCATTGAGAAGATTTTTGATGCTAATACGGCAATAAATCTTGTACATGAATTCGGTTACTGTAAATTGAATGATTTTTCGAATGATTTAGCCTGTTATATCGAATAATTTTTCATTCATCTCAAAGAGATCAGTATATGAATAACGACGGTGATTCATTTAGCATTGAAACAAGAGATCCTGCGTTATAGTAACCGTAAAAAAAATTGTAACACTTCACTGACAGCTTCCTACATACCACATTCCTCGGATAATTGAATTTATAGCAAACGAATACAGTTTTTCTCATTATGACAGACCTGATAATGAATCAAGATCATTACAGTGAGAAGCATAAAACTTAAAGAACACACTTGTACTATAGGTTCTTCCTAAGAATCTTGATATGTGGACAAATTCAAGGAAATGCAGTTTTCTATCGCATTTACATCCTCAAATTTTAAATGCTATTAGCTGTAGGAAAAAATTTTAAATTTTTTTTAAGAAATACAGTAACCTACATTGGAATTCAAATACTTGTGTCTTCCTATGTCATTTTGGAAAAAAAACACTTGATGCATATTATACCTATTTGTTTTTACAAATCATTGCCAGGAAATTAGTCGTTTTTATTATTAAATTCTGTGTGGAACCATTTTTTTTTCACATTTATTCTACTATAAAAATTCGGATTTTCTGTATTTCACATATATATTCTCTTTATGACATTTAAACACTACTTTCTATACCTAATTACAGAGAAAAAAATCTTTTGGTTGGGCTCAGTTGAATTCTTCCAATTCTTCTCCATCTGGGCCGACATTGATCCTGGCAGGTACATCTATTAGTGACCTTTTGCTCCTTGAATGTGGTACTTCTGCGGAATCCGGTTCATCTGCATTCCCCTGTTGTTCTGCAGATTTATTGGATGCTGCAGCTTTATTTTGTTGTTCTTGGTCGCTCATCTTCAGAGTTTTTATTCCTGCAGAATTTTTAAGAGAAAATATCAATGTTCTGTCTACGTCAGACTCGAATAGTATAAAAAAATATGTGTGTTTGTTATGGTACTTTATAATAATTTAAGTAGCGTAGTCGATTTAGAATGACCTTGGCTAGTGATTTAACACCGGCTAATGGAGTATACTGGGTGTGCTGACTTGACTTATTATTTGTAGCTATATATTGGTTTTAAGTATATCGAAAACTTCTGAAAATCTTTGCTTGAAGGCGATAGTAGGTATGTTGTTGACTTTTTCACTTAAAAATAAGTAGTTACCTACACGCATTAACAACTACAAAAAACGGAATGTAAACAATATGGGATATATTTATTCACTTTTCCGCATTTTCCTCTAAGAGACTTGTCAGATATTTAATGAAGAAATCTTACTGGAGATATGACGAAAATGATGCAGTAGGTACTCACGGTTGTGTATGTTCCTGGAGTAAACTTCACTGAGTGTTCCTGTGCCTAAATAGGTAACTAATCTAAATTCGATTAACTTCCTTATCAATAATATTTGTTGCCTATTCTGGGACAGGGGAATTGAGAAACTAAAGTGACGTGACAGACTGACAATAATTATTATTGCATTATGATGATTACTAGGTAGGTATCTTATCAATCGAACTGTTGAAGTTATCTTGAATTCTGTTTGTCGTACACAAATAATATAAAAATCCGATTGAACCACGACTGAACGATCGAAGTTTCAACGACTAACTATATTTATAAAATACGTAGAAACGTAGGAACCCTATTAGTGCCTATAGGTAGGTTATTGATTTTTAATGCTAGTCGATACGAATTTCATGAATATGAATTTGCTATCGCCACTTCTTGTTTGAAGTGTCACACCTTGACGACGAAAAAACTAACTTGGAAACTTAGATTCTTACACAAATCAACTAAGCGTTCACATTCCTGCAATATTTGATGACTACCTGAGTTTTTTGTACAAAAGTTGAGTGACCTATGGTGAGGCACACATTCTACAGTGTGGAGACTAAATTCGTTAGCAGGAAGGTGAATATTTTTTCTGAAAATTCCCGGCATACGTCAACGATTTGATGTATTTACTTATTCTTTTTTTTTT